TGTATGATCTGATGCTGTAGTCTAACTTATAATACCACACCAGCCAGTTACCTAAATAAAGCAACCCAAAAATCTTTTCCCATTTGATTTGAAATACAGCACTGGCTGTCTACTACACTCAATCATCAATCTCTCACTCTACTGTCACTGTGCCAATGCCACAGTGCATTAAGATGCATAGCTTCCTAATACACCTAGCGATCTTAAAATGCACCTCTCTCAACCAATGTGCTTCCATTTTTCTTGGTTCATTTCCCCCAGATTTTTTTTTTTTTTAAGAGAAAGGCAATTTGAGCCAGGCAGTGATGGCACACACCTGTAATCCCAGCACTCGCCAGGCAGAGACAGGTGGATGTCTTTGAGTTGTCGGTTAGCCTGGTATAAAGGGAGTTCCAGGACAGCCAGGTCTGTTATTGCAAAGAGACCCTGTCTCAAAAGAACAAAAAGGAAAGGCAATTTTATTTAACAATTTAAAAAAAAAAAAAAAAAAAAAAGCTGGGAGTTGGTGGCACACACCTTTAATCCTAGCACTCGGGAGGCAGAAGGATCTCTGTGAGTTCGAGACCACCCTGGTCTACAAGAGCAAGTTCTAGGACAGTCTCCAAAGCTACACAGAGAAACCCTGTCTTGGGGGTGTTGGGAGGGGCCGGGGTGGGGCATGACACGACGACAAAGAAATCAAGAGAAAGAAAGATCAAAAGGAAACTGGGACCAGGTACAAGGTCAGTCCATCTGGGCCTTTAGTGTCCTGGTGGTGATCTTGTGATTTTCAATGATGTGAACAATGATGCCCATACCTGATATGGCATCCAAGAGGTCCACAGCATTCAGCATGGCTTGGGAAATAGTTTCAAACAGGTGCTCTGGATCCATATTGGGCTCCCAAAGAACACCCCTATACATTTGTTTGGAACAGGTGCCACTGACTATTAAGTCATCAGTCACCATGCACAGTCAAAGAGAACCATCTATGTATGGGCTTAAAGGTCTTTGGGTCCAACCCAGCAATGACAGGCTCTGTATAGTAGGGACCAAAACTGTTTGTCACAAATAAATTGGCCACCATGCTCATGAGGATATAAGATTGGATATGTTGACCTTCCTTCAAGTCATACAGGTTCAGTTGGAACTTAAGGAACTGGCTGGTGTTGATGGCCAGCCCAGACAGGGCTATATAGAACCTGTTACCCATAGGAAAGGTCTGTGGTCACCATCTGAACCTGGATTCCCAAAAAGCCCATCTGCTTGCTGCTCAATGGTCACGACAGTCCCTTCCTTATAGGACATTATAGACATGACTGTTCGAGTCTGACTGCCACTTCCCCGGGATACTTTAATGCTTTCTATATAAAGTAAAATCTCAATTAGTTAATTAATTTTGAGAAAGAGCCTACTACTATAGCCCAAGCTAGCCTTGAACTCTACAATGGTCCTCCTGTTTCCTCCACCTCCCTATTCCTGGAATCACAGCATGAGCCACCAAGCTCAGCTTCAATTTATTCTAAGTTTTTGCTTGTTGTTGAGACAGTCTCCACATGCAGGCTAGGGTGGGCCTAAATTTGTTATCTTCCTATCTCAGATCCTCAAACAATAGGGTAACAAGCCTGCATTGACATTCAGCTTTATTATCAATCTGTACTCTATGTTACAATTTTTCAGTTTGCTCCCTCTGCCAAATGGATTCCACCCTTGGAGAAAAAAATATTGAGAATCAAAGCCATTTATTTTGTAAGGTATCAATTTTTACATAACCATTTACTTATTGACAGTATTTTAGCCAGTTTTCCCTACCACAGACTTTAGCAGCTATTTCCACCATCTGTTTAGCTTTCCTATAAAAATCTCAGACTACTCCTCCTTACCCTGAGCAAGTTCTCTTAGCTCCTAATTCATGACAATAATTCCTTGCAAACTTACCTATACAGATACCTCAGATCACCCCACCACCACCCCTGTCACATTTGTAGTTCAGGCTGCTCTGGAACTCGCTACATAGACCAAGCTGGCCTACAACTCACAGAGATCCATCTGCTTTTGCCTTCCAAGTGCTGGGATTAAAATGGCTTGTGCTACTACTCCTGACTAGAATTTTTTATTTTATCTTATGTGTATGAATGTTTTGCTTATGTTTATATGCATCACATTGTTATGGATGGTTGTAAACGACCACGTGGATGCTGGGAAATAAACCCTGATCCTCTGCAAGAACAAGTGTTCTTAACCACTGAGTCGTCTCTATAGCCAAATATATGCTATTTAAAAAGGCAATTTAAGTAGTGTGGTGGTGGTATATGCCTTTAATCCCAGCACTCAGGAGGCAGAAGCAGAAGGATTTCTTGAGTTTGATGCCAGCCTAAGAACAGTAAGGGCTACTCAGAGAAACCGAATATCCAAAACCACAAAAAGAGGGAGGGAGAAAGGGAGGAAAAGAGAAGGAAGGGGGAGAGAGGGAAGGAGGGAGGAAGGAAACTAATTTATTTCAAGGCCTAGTAGAGCTAGTGAGTTAACTCAAGGCCATACCAGGCAACTTAATGAAACACTGTATCAAAATAGGCTTAGGCCTATTTATTTACTTGTTTTGGTTTTTCAAGGCAGTGTTTCTCCGTGTGTATCCCTGGCTTTACTGGAACTCACTTTTGTAGATCAGGCTGGCCTTGAACTCACTGATATCTGCCTGTCTCTGCCAGAGTGCTGTGAGATTAAAGACGTGAGCCACCAAGCTGGGCACTGGTGGTGTACGCCTTTAATCCCAGCACTCTTTAATCCCAGCACTCGGGAGGCAGAGGCAGGTGGATCTGTCAGGTGGATCTCTGTGAGTTCGAGACCAGCCTGTCTATAAGAGCTAGTTCCAGGGCAGCCTCCAAGCTACAGAGAAACCCTGCCTCGAAAAAAACAAAAACCAAGCAAAACAAACAAAAAGATGTGCATCACCAAGTGGCTCCATTCACTTTATTTTTATTTATTTATTTTTTTTTTGAGACCAGGTCTCTCAGTGTAGTTCTGGCTATCTTGGAATTATATACATATATATGCCTGAGGCACAAGCTCAGAGATTAGCCTGCCACTACCACCTGTGTGTGTCTCAGGCTTAAATCTCAGCACCTGGGAGGCAGAGCAGAGCACACTTATCTATCCCAGAGGCTAATCTGGTCTACAGAGTCCCAGGACAACAGCCAAGGCTACAAAAATTGAAGCCCTTTCTCAATACTCTCTACCTCACTTTTGGATGTTAAGGATTAAACAAAATAATGTAGATAAGGCAGAGGCAGGAGAATCCCTCTGGTCTACAGAGGGAGTTCCAGGACAACCTCCAAAACCACAGAGAAACCCTGTCTTGAAAATCCAATAAATAAATAAATAAATAAATAAATAAATAAATAAATAAATAAATAAATAAAAATAGTAATGTGTACCCAAAAGAAGCAATATGACAACTGAACCACATGAAGACAAGACACATGGCAAGAGCACTAATTGTTCACACTAACAATCTTCAAAGGAAAAGCTTTAGTTTTAGCAATTCCCAGTGATTGGCTCTAAAATGTGCACATGTCTGCATACGACTTAGTAAAATTGACAGAAATAGCACACACTGCAGCAGTTTTCCAGGTTGAGAAGAGCAAATTAATTTGTCCTTGGGACGAATGTAGTTTAAATGCATAAATGTACCAAAACCATTTGGAATGGAGGGAGGTTTCCTTCTAAACCCAAAAATTATAATAATATACATTGTCAAAAATGAATCTTCTCCAAATATTTAGGAGGGAAATGATTTTAACTGTTAAGAGCTGGGGCAAAGCAGCAGGATTTTATAGACTGCAGTATGTCAGCTGCTAATTCTGAAAAAAATGTTCAAGCTGGAAAAAAAAATAGACAGTATCTCTAATAAAGAAAACGCCCTAAAATACCACAGAAACATAAGAATCCACACATCTGCTAAATATCAAATTACACCTTTGGAGACAACTTACTAATTAAATACTATTTAAGGTCTAAAAATAAAAATAAAACCTCTACTGGTCATATTTTTGCAAAGGTGGCTACCACTAACAGGAGTTCTTGTTGACTTGAAGCAAGGATCAGTGAATAAATCCAGTGTTCACACTCAAAATGTGGGGGAGAGGAAAAGGGAGGGTCCAAGTCCATAAAGTTCTCCTCCCTCTGAGAACACTGCAAAAATTGTCCACGTCTAAGGACACTTACCCTTGAAACTCCTTGGAGAGCAACTTGGGAGACTTTCTGTTCAGATTTTTTGAGGGGGAGCTATTTAGGAATGCTGCAAAATTGCAATTTTCATATACATGGGCATAATTTAGATTTTTACATCTTTCCTTCAGGGTATTTTACTGCTTCCTTTCTAAAGAGCCAGTCAGCACTCCCCTATTAATAAAATCCCTAATTCAACACCAAGTGTAAGCTGAAAAACCAAAGCAAACCCTGAAACTACACAAAAAGATTTCAGTATGCAAATGACGCTCACTGACTATTTACAATAATCCCTAAGTAAATCACTTCGGTTTGAGAGGAGAAAGGAAAAAGGACATTACTCCGACCAGCGGGGGAGGACAAAAAGAAAAGAAAGCAGTACGGGGGGGGGGGGGGTGACGACGAGAATTGGGGGAAGAGCACAGCACAAAAAAAAAAAAAAAAAGAAAAAAGAAAGAAAGAAAAAACAGTCTAGCTGATGCTGACACTAAGGAGGACAGGGCAGAAAATACCCCAGCGACAGGAGGACCGGGTGGGACCGGGCAGGGCCGGGCATTCCCTGCAGGCCTACCCAGGGACCGCTGAGATGACGGCGGGCAGCACTCTCACAAGAACCCCCCCGGACCCCACACTCGGGAGGCGGACGCGGGGGTGGCGGGGTATCGGAAAGCCGCCACCGCTGCCGGTCTGCGGGGACCCTGCCTCGAGGGCTGCGGGCCGGGCCGCGGACGTGGAAGGGGGTGCGGCCCGGGGGCGGCAGCGGGATCCCCCCCGAGCGAGCAGGTCGACCGTACCTTGTAGTAAACGTCGAACTGGATATTCTCCGGCAAGGAGCGGATGTCGCGACGCGAGCGGATGTAGTTGTCCACGACAGCGGAGATGGCGGTGTTGTAGAGCGTCTCGGGGATCCATTCGAGCTCCACGGCCGCCATCTTCCCTCGCTCCTCCTCCGCCTCCTCCCGCAGGCCCCCGCCTCCCTCCGTAGCGAACCCGTGTGCGGCCCCGGAGGCTTCCGAGGGGCGGCGACCACGCGGGCGCGCGCTTCACGGATCAGGCCGCCCGGCCTCCGCGTGCGCACGGAAACTGAGGGTAGGCAGCGGCGGCTGCGGCGGCGGGATACCGGGGAGACCGGGACGAACGCAGAGCACTGCCGAACCCAGAGCCTCACATTCCGGGAAGGACAGCAAGCCCGGTTCCGTCCAGGCGCCTAGCTCCGCCGCAGGGGCGGGGCTGCGTGTGCGGCGTCATGACGTCAGCGCGCGCTGACGCTCCGGGGAAGGAATGCGGCAGGCGGAAAACTTGGGTGAAAGAGCCAGGAGCGCCTGAGAGTTACAAAAGGGCATGGCACCGGGGTGGCTGGGCGGTAGTAATGACAGTATTTTACTCAGCGTGCTGTGGCTCTCCAGCACAGCCTTGTTTCAGTGAGTTTTAGACGAAAGCCCTCTTGAATTTTCACGTAAAAATGTAGGCTTGACATATTTTCTTCACAAAAGTGCGCAGTAGGGCTGCCCGCACGCCTTTTATCTCGGCATTTGGGAGGCAGAGTCAGGAAGATCTCTGTGAGTTCGAGGACAATCTGGGCTATAAAGCGAGTTCCAGGACAACCAAAACTGTTACGCAGAGAAAACCTGTCTTGAAAAGCCAAATAAAAATTATTTTTACAGTAAATCAATGTTTGTGTGACATGCATTTTCAGATTACTGGAAGAATTTGGAAGGGAAAAAAAGCTAAGCTAAAAAATAAATACAGTTAATGAAATTTTAATGCTAAACAGAGCTGGAGAGATAGCTCAGTGCTCACAGTTCACAAAGTGAACACCCTGCTTCAGTCTCCAGTTCTAGGAGACTGATGTTCTTTTAGGGTTTCTCCAGGCATCTACTCCCACGTGGTGCACGTACATATAAACTCAGACATACTGTGATGCTGGGGGTTTTTGTTGTCAACATAACCTCGGGCCTTCTTAGGGTGGGGGGACCTCAACTGAGACAATGCCTCCATCAGATCCGAAGGTAGGCAAACCTGTGGGGCATTTTCTTGCTTAGTGATACACGAGGGCCCACCACTCTGCAATGCCACTCTAAGCAGGTCCTGGGAGGGGAAAGAAAGAAGGCTGAGGGGTTTAGCTCAGTGGTAGAGCGCTTGCACAACTAAGCCCAAGGCCCTGGGTTTGGACCTCAGCTCAAAAAAAAAAAAAAAAAAAAAAAAAAAAAAAGGATGAGCAAGCTAAGGGTCCCAGACAGTAAACAAAGTCCCTCTATTGCCGCTGCTTCATTTCCAGCCTCCAAGTTCCTTCTCTCTCTCTCTCTCTCTTTTATTTATTTGTTTGTTTATTTATTTCTTTTGGAGACAGGGTTTCTCTGTATTGCTTTGAAGGTTGTCCTGGAACTCGTTCTGTAGACCATGCTGGCTTCACACTCAGAGATCCACCTACCTCTGCCTCCCCAGTGCTGGGACTAAAGGCGTGTGCCACCAATACCTGGCCTCAGCCTCCAACTTTCTACCTTGAGTTCTGCCCTGACTTCCTTTCATGATGGACTATAAATTGTAAGCTGAAATAAACCCTTTTGCTCATGGTGTTTTATCATAGCAATAGAAAGCAACCTAACCCTAAATTCCCAAATATTGTCTATAAATGTTTGTTTTCAGTTAAATGGACTTGGTTGTATAAAATAAAAAAAAGAAAGCAACCTAGCACACACAATGTACATGTCATTCAAGCTAAATGAGTTGTGGTTACAGTTGAGGAGATGTTGATTAGGAGTTTTGGTCACAGCACTTTCTTCTTCTCCTCCTCCTCCTGCTTTTCCTCCTCCTTCTCCTTTTTCTTCTTGTTTTGTTTTGTTTGAGACAGGGTTTCTCTGTGTAACAGCTCTAGCTGTCCTAGAACTAGCTCCATAGACCAGACTGGCCTCACAGAGATCCACCTGCCTCTGTCTCCCGAGTGCTGGGGCATGTGCCACCACTGCCAGGCTAACTCTTTTTTTATGCTTATGAACACCTGTTATTGCTAAGCCTGACTTTAAGAATTTGTTGTAGCAGCCAGGTGTTGGTGAGAGAAACCCTGTCTCGAAAAACCAAAAAAAAAAAAAAAAAAAAAAAAAAAAAAAAAGGAAAAAAAAAGGAAAAAAAGAATCTGATGTAGCATATTTCTGTTCTAGGAATTTAACAAGGAAGTTGCCTCTATAACTTCTGCCTCTGCCTTCTAAGTGCTGGGTTTAAAGTCATACAGCACTATGCCAGTTTCTTCTCAATTTCTTAGTCTTTTTGTAGCAATATAAATCATGATGACAATAATAATGTCCACTCCTGACTTTTTTTTATAATTTATTTATTCTTATTTTAATTGGTGTTTTGCTGCATGTATGTCTGTGTGAGGGTATGAGATCTTGGAGTAACTGACAGTAGTTGTGAGCTGCTATGTGGTTGTTAGGATTTGAACCCAGGACCTCTGGAAGAGCATTCCATGCTCTTAACCACTGAGCCATCTCTCCAGTCCACACTCGTGATATTTGGCACTACAGGAATTGAAACAGATGTGAAGGGTTCCCAGTTTGAGGGTATACTTCATCTTGTGGAGAGTTTCCTCTGTGTAGCTCTGACTGTTCTGGAACTTACTCTGTAGTCCAGCCTGGCTTTGAACTCACAGAGATCTGCCAGTTTGGTCCTACCAAGTGCTGGGATTAAAGACACCACTCCTGCATTTTTTTTTTTTTTTTTTTTTTTTTTTTTTTTGGAGACAGGGTCTCTTATATAGTCCTGTTACTCACTATGTGGACCAGGAGTTCTCACAGATATCCTCCTGCCTCTGCCTCTTGAGAGTTGGGACTAAAAGTATGTGCTACCATGACAGGCTGCTTTCTTTTTATTCAGATTGGGACCCCAGCTCATGGAATGCTGCCAATACTGCCACTGACATTTAGGGTGGGTCTCCCTCAGCTTATATGTAGTTGGGAAAATTCACCAAGTAATGTTTTAATGTTAGGGTATCATGATGTACTGTAAAAAATAAAATTAAAAATTGGGTCCTAGAGTGAGTCTTCTCAGTTAAACCTTCCTGAAAACACCTTCTTAGATTCATCCAGTAGTGTCTTTCCATGCTGATAGTTTTTTCTTATTGAGATTTTAAAATGTTTTTATTAGTATATTACATATACTAGTGGGTATTATTATGACATTTTCATACATATATATATATTATATTGTGTTCCTACTCATACCTCATCTCATTGCCCTTTCTTGTTCCCCTCCTATTCTCTCAGATCCCTTTTCTCTTCCCAACTGATTCCTTTTGTACCCAAATTCTAAACTCCCAAATCACCAAGAGATCCATTCTGATGCAAAAGCAAAGAGTCGTTTATTATTTCATGAGTTAGTTGCCTTAACTTAGTTCCCTCATCTGTTTAACACAACATTTGGTATGAGAAGGACCCAAAGGTGCCAAAAGGCAGGGAATTTATTGGGACCTGCAAGGGGAGTGTCTAGGGGCATACAACAGTCTCAGGATTGGTGCACTTCCGGGTTTGGATGATCTGCCCTATATTGATTGGTCAACTGGTTGCTATGGTCAAAAGCCCTCCCAGAGTGGTTGCTATGCTCTGTACGCCACTGATAAGCTACTTTTACTATAAAGCAAATCCAGAGCCCATAAAGCATGTCCAGCTCTGATTGGTTCCTTGCCACAAGGAGGATATCTGACCTCATAGTGACTGCAAAAGGTCCAGCAATGTCAGGAAGCTCAGCACATTTTGCTAAGTCAGAGGTCTACATCTTGCTGGGTCTTTTCTGCAACCTATTATGGCTGCTGAAGTAGGAGGCTGGGTGAGTGTCTGGTCCCTTCAGTTCCTATTTTACTTTCATGCCTTCTTTCCCTCTTTCTCTCTCTCTGTCTGTCTGTCTCTCTCTCTCTCTCTCTCTCTCTCTCTCTCTCTCTCTCTCTCGTGTGTGTGTGTGTGTGTGTGTGTGTCCAAATGAGTTTCACTTACAGAAGCATAGATAACAGGTTCTTTAATACATATAGTAGTATAGGCACTATAGTAGTGGCTATACTACAGAAGAAAATGTCTCTTCCCCAGTAAACATTAATGCCTATAGATCCCCAGGGAGGGGTGGGGTCATCTGAGCCCCACCCTTTCCACAACAGGATGTTAATGGACTCAGTGGTGTGCAGGTAATTACAGTGTTGTGATTTCAAAAGTGCAATGGCCATTTCATGCCTGGAAGACAGCAGTCTATCATGACCTACCCCACTCTCTGGCTCTAATATTCTTTCTGTTATCTCTTTTGACATCTTCCCTAAACCTTGGAGGAGGTGATACAAATCTTCTCTTTATGCTTGGACATTCAAGAGTCACTTATTCATAGCACTGTGACCTGCTGCCACTGCATGGGACAAAAGGGAACTTCTCTGACCAAAGCTGACAGCACCAATAATCTGTTGGAATAAACATAATTATTTAGAGGGCAATTTGACAGGCACATCTTGTACATTTAGCAAAACAGCAGTAGTAACATCCTCACTAAGGCCTTTGACTTTCCCAGCCAAAAGTTTTGAACAGGTTTACGGTACCAGATATGAATTCCTTCCTGTGGAACAGGCCTCAGTTCCAATCAGGAAGTGGTTATTAGCTCAATAGATGTGTCACTACTATTGTACCAGTGGACACATCTTGCCTGCGTGGTCAGTAATGTTGTACACAGGGACTACAGCTGAGTATGACTGTTGATAACAATCCTTCCCTAGCTGCCTGCACAGCACATTCCTACACTAGATCTATCCAGCAGGAAGGAGGCCTCCATCTCAGTTCCAGCTTGATTTCTCTATGTCCTATTACCAGAACATGTTGTCTTCAGTAATGGGTTTCAGAAAACCAAAGGAAACTGCTGGGGGATGGTGGCAGTGCATGCCTTTTATCCAGGAGCTCAGGAGGCAGAGGAAAGTGGATCTCTGTGAGACCAGTCTAATCTACAAATAAAGTTCCAAGACAGCTAGGGCTGTTACTCACAGAAATCCTGTCTCAAAACAAAACAAAACAAAACAAAAGCAAAACTCAACCACA